GCCATTGTGGGCATTTGAGGAGTGGGGGTGATGTAATGGAAATGGTGTTCCAGGGCTTGCCTTGGGTGGAGCTGAGGAAATAGAGCACTGACTTCTGACCTCATTTGGTTTTCAATGCCCACTATTTTTCTATTTGACTGCCCTGAGCCATCATTTTATTCTTGTGCCTGTGACTATCACCCCTTAGAGTCTTAGGTCATAGACACAGAATAAGGGAATTGATTTTATTTAGATCTTTTAAATTCTAATCAGGGAATGTTTTTAAACAGGATATGAAACCAGGTACACAGGGCTGTCAGTTGCTAGGAGGGTGTTGTGTTTACCATTTGGGAGGAGGTACAAAGGAAATCAGTCTTTACAACACTCCAGGGCTTCTGAAAACTGGCCCTGCCAAAGTCACATACAGGTCATGTCTACACAGAACAATTACCCACTTTTCCAGTTTAGCTGTCACCTTTGATCAAATTAACTAAAAAGCTGGCAGATTTCTATTGCCTTTTGCAGCCCATACACACCCTACTTCCCCCAGTTTACAAAGGACTATGAAAAGAAAACGGGGGGGGAGGGGAACAGAGAAGCTATTCTTAATATTTTGAGGGCACCATCATAGGTCTCTGTGACTTGCCTACCCAAAGGCAGAACACGAGGCTGGGCTGAATTAACCCTGCACCTGACTGTGTGAAATCTGTTCTATTATTTATATTCTTAAACATTGCGAAGCCATGGATTTTTGAAGCCACGTTTAAAGTTTACAAGGTGTTTTAGACACGTTCCCCAACTTGATCATAAATATGGATTGTTAGAACCAATGAACTAATTTTTAGACAAATAAGTTGAATAAAAGTTCCTCGAGGTCAAGAACTGCTTTAATTTTGTCTTTGTATCCCAGGGCCTAGCATGGTGCTTGGCACATAGTAGGCACTTAATAGGCAGGGGGTGATTGATAAACTGATAAATTGAAGATGTGTTGACAAACTACTCAATATTTTGTTGGGTTAAAAAACCATTGCTTCTAGATTGGATTTCCTGATCATTCACAGAGATACTATTCAGAATTTTTTGTGTAAATGCTGCCTTGGAAGAATCTAAATATATGTGGTTTTTTGTAGAAGGTAAGGGTAAAAGGAGGAGGTATAATTTCAGGAGCTGCTTGAATGACAGAAAGAAGATGGCTGAGCCCACCTGAAAAGAACAAGAAGATCAAGGCTTTCTTATGTTTAGGATGCAGACAAGGAGAAAGCTTGGAAGTGAAAGTGGGATGATTAGATGGAAAAGCACCAGATGATTTTGTGACAGACAGAATTAGGGAGAAGGAGCCAGTACCCCAGAGAAGGCCAGTAGAAAACTTGAAAGAAGAGACTGAAAGCCCTTTAATAATGACCTTAAGAAGCAAGTAGAGAGCCATAAATGGTATCTGGAGAGAAGCCAGCTTTGAAGGTCCATGACAAACAATGATGTGCAAGCAAGATATATAGATACAGATATATATATGTATGTATGTATGCATTGAGAGGGAATAAATTTGAAATAATCAGCAGAGGGAAGATATTAGAATTAAAGGGGATTGGGAAAGATTTCCTGGAAAAAATTTTAGCTGGGACTTAAAGGCAGCCAGAAGGTCAACCTGCAGAGGGAGAGCATTACTGGCATTAGAGAAAATGCCCAGCCTTGGGAGATAGAGTAAGCAAGGAGATTGGTGGCACTGGATCATAAAGTATGACAGGGCTTGGGGGATGAAAGGTATAAGAAGACTGGAAAGGTAGGGAGAATGGGGCTGGGTTATGAAGTGCTTTGAACTCCAAACAGCAGATTTTATATTTGATCCTGGAGGTGATAGGGAGCCCCTGGAGCTTACTGAAGGGGAGGGAGATGATAACATGGTCAGACTTGTACTTTGGGAAGATCACTTTGATGGCTGGTTGGAAGATGGACCAGATAGTTAGGAGAGACTTACGGCAGAGAGATCAACCAGTCGGCTTGCAAAATAATCCAACGTGAGAGGCTGTAGGAGGTTAGTGCAGCAGTGTCAGAGGAGAGAATGAGCATTAATATGGCTCCCACTATACAGCAGGCTCTTTATAGATATCTCATTTGTGGAAGTAAGGAAAGGAGCCGGAACATGAACTTAGCCATGTCGATCCTAAGTCTTGTGGTTCTTCTGTCACGTTATACTGCCTCACTCCCAATTTAACTTATCAATGACATAAGCAGGCAGTTAGAAGACATAGGAGTAAAGTCTAGAAATATCATATTCAGACAGTGAGGGCACAATAACAGGTAAGCACAGGCAGGCCTTGTGTTCAGATAGGCTTTTATTTTAATCCTCATGTTGAAACCCGGCATCCCACAGTTCCTCTGACTGATCCCTTCAACCAATCCAATGGAGTCACAATAACAGGGTCCAAAACTGCAGGGTTTCAGAAAACTGTTTGATTTAACATGGCCATATCCAAGGAAGATACTCACAGTTTACTTTTTATTGTTTTGTAAAAAAAAAAAAAAAGAAAAGAAAAGAAAAGAAAAAGAAAGAAAGAAAGAATAGGAAAAAAAAAGAAAAAAAAATAGCATGCAAGAGTGGCTGTGGACAAAACTATGAAGCCGATGGAGTTTGTCTCTGCTGCCCTCCAGTCTGCCCGTTCCCTGCCCATGTCCTGTCCTGTCCTGTCCCCCCATGCCTTTAACCTGTGCCCAGGGTCCCTACTATGCCACTCTAGCTACAATTACCCTTTCCCAGGCAGTGCCCTATTTCTATAGAAACATAAATTTAAAAGATTTGGAGAGATCTTAGAAAACATCAAGATCAAACCCTTCATTTGACAGATGAAGAAACTGAGATGAAAAAGGGAAGAGACTGACCCAAAGTTGCACAAGTAACAAGAGGAAAAACCTAAAGGAAAATGGCAGTCTTCTGCCTCTGGGCCTACATGCTCTGGACTGGTCTGTTCCGTCAACATTTTCCTCATATCAGCATTCCCCAACTGTTTATAAGTAAGAAAATAAATTAATCCATATTAAAGTATTATTGGGGAAGCTTGGTAGTGCAGTGGACAGTGTCAGGTCTGGAGTCAGGAAGACTCATCTTCCTGAGTTCAAATCCAGCCTCAGACACTTACTAGCTGTGTGACCCTGGGCAAGTCACTTAAGCCTGTTTGCCTCAGTTCCTCATCTGTAAAATAAGCTGGAGAAGGGAATGGAAAACCACTCCACTATCTTTGCCAAGAAAACCTCAAGTAGGGTTACAAAGAGTTGGACACAACTGAAATAACCAAACAACACAAAACAAAGTATTAGTAGTAGTAGTAACTCACATTTATGACCAATAACGCTTAATGTGTGATCCTTCCCAGACATTTAATGGTGTAAAATGCTTAACACAAAGCAATGACTCTCTAATGATAGAATTCCAGGTTCTAAGGAAGGAGCTCTTAACTTTCTTTTGTGTCATGGACTCCTTTAACAATCTAGTGAGCCTTAGCCATGCCTTCTCAGACAAATGTTTTTGAATTCATAAAACAAAATGCACAGAATTACTAAAGAAACCAATTATGTTGCATTTTTTTTTTAACTTCATGGATGGCAGGTCAAGAAGGGGAGTTTTTTAGGGCAGGCAGAGTAGCTTTCCCAGCATTCTGGGAAGCTCCTACTCCTTTTATATCTGAGACCAGTCAGCACTATGTGTAATCATTGAAGACAATGAAAATCATTGGAATCATCTGCTGGAAGAAATGGGCATGTTTTAACTGCAGAAGATTTTGATAAAGGGGGATAGGAAGCTGGGTGGCACAGTAGATAAGAGTGCTTGGCCTGGAGTCAGGAAGACTTATCTTTGTGAATTCAAATCCTACTCTCACACTTACCAGCTGCTTGATCGTGGGCAAATCACTTACCCCTGTTTGCCTCGGTTTCCTCATCTGTAAAATGAACTGGAGAAGGAAATAGCAAACCACTCCAGTGTCTCTACCAAGAAAATCCCCAAAAGGGGTCGATGAAGAGTTGGATGTGACTGAAACAACTGAACAACAGGGGTGGGGACATAAGTTCCTTTAAGCATATGAACGGCCATTATATAGAACAGATAGTACGTTTATTCTATTTGGCCCTAGAGGGCAGAACCAGAAGCAATGGGTAGAAACTGTAGAGAAGCAGATTTAGGTTAGATTTAAAGAAAAATTAATGAACAATTAGTTGCACAAAAGTGGAAGGGGTTGTCATCCCTGAAAGGCAAGTGGGAGGCTGTGTCATACAGGGAATGCTTTTTCAGAGATGGGATGGATGGGATGGTTGAAAGGCCCCTTCCAGTTCTGAGATGCTAGGATTCATGTGTGGCTTGCAGATTTAGTCTCATTTCTTCAAAATCATCCCCTTGTATAATAAAAAAGGAACAAACATGCCATTTCCCTAAAAATGTTCCCTACTTCTAATTGGTCAGTAAGCCAGGCTGGCAAAACATAATTTCTCTGTCATTATTGAGTACATTATTGTACTTGGGAGGGAGGGGTGTGTGTGTGTGTGTGTGTGTGTGTGTGTGTGTGTGTGTGTGTGTTGCTGTCTCCTCTTGTCCCACTGGACCAGCTTTTCTCACAGACTACTAGCCTTTTTCTGTGTTGACTGCAATTTTCCTACCATTTCATTTGTCACTGGCAGTGCTATCCCCAGTTTCAACTAGAAAATGATTTGACAAACACTCCTCCTTAGATGTTCTCTAATCAGACTCTTCCTCAGATCCAAAACACTTGATGCATTGTGGGGAATGATACAAGTGTGTTGACTCAGTGGAACACCCCATATGGTATGATCAGCCCATATACAATGAGCTCAAATTCCCTTCTGAGTCACTCAGACTAATGGGAGAATTAATTGTGTGTCCCTAAGGCTTATCATGCAGTGTGGTGATGCTCCACAGTAACCTGGATTTTTACATTCTCAGGACTGCCCGTCATGTCCAATTCTCTGACTAGCCCCTACACCCTTCTACTTGTTCTCTTCTTTTTCTATTGCAGAGGGAAGTCCTGCAGGACAATTACTTTTGAACAATTTAAAGAAGCTCTGGAAGAACTCTCAAAGAAGCGATTTAAAGATAAGAGCAATGAGGAGGCGATCCAGGAGATACACAAACTCATCGAAGGAAAAGCCCCAATAATATCAGGAGTGACGGTATAGAAACGCATCATGGGGCTAGCTTTCAGGCTTTACCTGGGGGGAGTGGCTCCCCTCCAGCTGTGCTTGGGATGTACGGTGGGGAGGAATAGCTAGGAGGAATGGGCTTGCTCTCATGTATCTATATCACAACTCTGAGTCATGGTAGAGGAGGAGAAGGGAGGAACGAGGAGGGAAGGAGAATGGGCAGCAATGGACGTGGAGGGGGAGGTGCACTAAAGGACTGATGAGGGGCAGTGTTCACTCACCTGACACTGCCTGATCACTTCCCCTTCTGATTTCCTGGCATAGGACGGTGGCATAGGACCTCAGATGCCCAAGGCTATCTGGGAACCATGGGACCTTAACCAAAATCCACTTTACCTCTGGGCAGGTCCTCATCACCTCACGCTTGGAGTATTTCAATAACCTGCTGGTGGGTCTGCCTGCCTCAAGTCTCTCTCCACTCCAATCCATCCTCCATTCAGCCACTAAAGTGATTTTCCTAAAACTCAGGTCTGACCATGTCTCCCCTCCTCAGTAAACTCCAGTGGCTTCCTATTGACTCCAGGAGCAAATACAAAATGCTTTTTTTTGGCATTCAAAGCCCTTCAAAACCTAGCCCCGTCCTACCTTTCCAATCTTCTTACACCTTACTCCCTAACATATACTCTTTGATCCAGTGATACTGGCCTCCTGGCTGCTGCATGAACAAGACATCTCTTGGCTCCAGGCATTCTGCCTGGTTGTTCCCTGTGCCTGGAACACTCTTCCCCACTCCATTCTGACTACTGACCTCCCTGGCTTCCTTTAAGTCCCAACTAAAATCCCACCTTCTTCAGGAAGTCTTCCTCAACTCTTCTTAATTTCAGTGCTTCCCTTCCCCCCAATTATTTTTTATTTATTCTGTATGTAGCTTGCTTTGTATATATTTGTTTATATATTGTCTCTCCCATTAGATTGCAAGCTCCTTGAGATCAGGGACTGTCTTTTGCCTCTTTTTTTATCCCCAGAGCTTAGCATAGTGCCTGGCGTATAGTAGGTGCTTAATAAATGTTTATCGAATGAATTAATGAAAATGAGGTACAGGCAGGATTAGTGTCCCTCCAACAACATTACTATCACTTAAAGCCACTCAAATGGACCTTCCCAACAAAAGTTCAGTCTCCGTAGTATTCATGCTTTGCAGCCAAGTGAGAGCTAGACATGTTGCACTAACATTTAGTCTCATCTGCTCCTAACTGTGAGATCTTGGGCAAATCACTTCCCTGGGGCTCAGTTTTCTCACCTTTAAATGAAGAGTCTGGGCTAGATGAGGCTCCATGGCCCACAGTGTGCCTATCTTCTGAACCTTCTGATTTAATTTTATTTTTTTAATGGAGGTAGCATGGTACAGTGGGATGCAGGTGGTACAGTGGATAGAGTGGCAGGCCTGGAGTCAGGACGAATCATCTTCCTGAGTTCAAATCCAGCCTCAGATACGTATTGGCTGTGTGACCCTGGGTAAGTCACTTTACCCTATTTGCCTCAGTTTCCTCATCTGCAAAATGAGCTGAAGGAAGAAATGGCAAACCATTCCAGTATTTTTGCCAAGAAAACCCAAAATGAGGTCACGAAGAATTGGACACGACTAAACAACAACAATAAGCAAGGTGCAGTAGAACAGAGGTATCAGAGGGCAGGCTGCTGAGCGTTATGGGAACCCAGATTAAAATGTAATTGGGAAATATTTTTTTAAACAAATCAAAATACAACAGAACAGATTATTTTGTTAATATGTAATAATATGTAATATGTTAACATGTAAAATGTTAATATGGAATAATAATATTAATAATATTTTATATATTTTCATGTTTCATTAAATATTTCTCAATTATATTTTTTAAAAAAATTTAACATTCATTTTAAAAAATTTTGAGCTCCAAATGCTCTCTCTCCCTCCTGTCCCCCACCCCACCACTTGAGAAGGCAAGCAATAGATATTGATTATTCATGTGAAATCATGCAAAACATATTTCCACATTAGCCATGTTGCAAAACACACACAAAAAAACCTCAATACAAGTAAAGAAAGTTTTAAATGTATTCTTCAATCCACACTCAGAGTTCATCAGTCCTCTCTCTGGAGATAGATAGTATTTATCATCATGGATCCTTGTCTTGGATCATTATCTTGACCCAAGTAGCTAAGTCTTTCAATATCTAGTTTTCTAAGTCAATATGCAGTCCACAGGAATGCTTAGGGATGGTTTGGTGGTCCCCATTCTTGGTTGAATTTGACAGCCCTTACAGTAGAGTATTCTAGGTTTTAAATCAGAGGGCCTGGGTCCAAATCCTGACTCTACTACCTACTGCCCTGGGCAAGTCACTTAATTTCTCTTATCCTGTTTCCTCATTTGTAAATTGAGTTGTACTCAATCACCTCTTAATCTCATAAAATTTACAATCTGTGATTGAAACTAGCATTATGATTAGACTTCAAGCACATTTGCAATGAGTACCTATAGATTTTAAGGGAGAGCAGGAACTAAGTACTGTCTATTCACAGAAGAGTGAGTAAGGAGTTGTCTTTGTTTTGTTTTCGCCATCCATGCTGAATCTTAGTCTGCTTGCGGAGGATTTCAGTCACTCTGCTACATAATAAGCAAGGTGGATGAGTTGCCAGCTTGCTATAATTTGAAGAGGGAGGAAAAGTCCTTTTACGTCCTCCTTTCTAATACCTCTCTTTATATTAGTCACTGATAACTGAAAATCTACCTTGTATTATCTCTAGGCTTTGTCCTTTGTTAAAATGTCCTTGGGAAGGGTGACTTCCTAAATCTTTCAGTCATTCATACCTCAGTGCAAATGAATCTATCAGACCCTTTTCTGGGAGCAGGCTCTGTAAAATAAGTGGTTAAGAAAGCATGAGAGCAACGAGCAATTGATATTGAGGGAAAAACAAACAAGAGTAAGAAAGATTCCAAGAATGTTGATGAAGACAAATATAGACTTAGCAATTTTGCACTGCCCATCAGTATCAGAGGACAGGGAGAGGATTAACATTTCAGACACTGAGCAGCTAGAGTTGAACCCATGAGATGGCATGAGGAGCTGATATAATAACTGATAAGCTACTGAGTCTAACCCCTTCATTTTACAGATAAAGAAACTGAGCCACAGAGAGAGTAGATGACTTGCCAAGAGGTGTACACCTTATAAATGCTTGAGGTGGAATTTGAACCTAAGTCTTTCTGACTCCAAGTCCATTTATACCACTAATACTCAAAGTGTGGTCTAGGGACCTTTGGGGGCTCCTGAGACCCTTTTAGGGGATCTGCAAGGTCAAAACTATTTGCATAAAATATTTGACATTGTAATTTCTAATATGGTGAATATTGATAGATATGACAGAAATAAACAAATGGTCTTTGAGGGGTCCTCAATAATTTTGAAGCTTACAAAGGGGTCCCAAGGCCCAAAACTTTGAGGACCACTGTACCACACTATACTGGCATTGAATGATAGCACTGTCAACACATCTAAGAAAAGATTGGGTCATAAAAGGTTAAGTCCCTGGGTATTTTTGGAGGGTTAGATAGCATTTCATAGCATCCTTGAATTCTGAAGAAGATAAAAGAAAGTGTTTGTCTTGAGGTTGATTCTATTCATTTCAGTCTTACTTGACCAGGTTCCCAACACAGCAGGAAATTCTAATTTCACTGTTGAGTTTATCATGTCCTGGCTACTTTAGCCAACTTTTTTTTTCTTAAACTGGGCCCATTTAGATTATCATTGGGGTCTTCTAACATTCAGAAGTTGGGGGAGTAACAGAATTGTCCAAAAATGCAGTAAGCTAAAATTTTGTGAGATAATGAGTTCTTTGTCAGTGGAAGTGTTTAAGCACAGGCTGAATGACCATCTGTCAGGGATGTTGTGGGATACATAACAAGTTTAAGTGCTTTTATGCCATAATTTCCTTTGAGTCTATAGACACATTACTATCCCCATTTGCAGATGAAGAAGTTGAGGCTCAAAGGCTAAGTGAACTTGCCCAAGGTCACACAGGTCATCAGTGGCAGAGTTTGGATAAGAACCCAGATCTCCTTCCTCCTACTCCAATGTTGTTTTTTTGTTTTTGTTTTTGTTTTTTTTTCCCTCTGCACCATAAAATATCTTCCAAGAAATATCTGAGGGCTCATCTGACACTCTCAGACTGGAGAAAACCTGGTCAATGTCCACAATCCAGATCATTCAAAGCTCCATGTGGTTTGTTTTACTATTTAGCCATACCCTATGGCCAACTGGAACCCAGCCCAGGATGAATGTGGAATAAAGAATTCAGAATTAATGTAGAAGTGTGCTTATGATTGGTGCAAATTTCTGAGAATGAAATGTTTGTGCAGTAAGCTGTATCAGTTATACATGACAAGAACCAAATTAATGAATTTTCTAGGATGCACTCTATTCTACTCAATGGATTTACCCAATTTGGTCTTCATAGGCCAACCTCATTTAGCACTGAACTTACTAACCACTTCTGGCTATGGATTTTCTTAAAACCTATTTCTATTCTATATACATATATACATATACATATATATATACACTTATATACATACACACATACACATATATATATATATACCATGTCTATGTCATATATAGATATATATGTGTATGTACCCACTCATTTAATTTTTAAAAATATTTTAAAATTTCATTTATTTTAAAATTATTATTAAAATTAAAATTATTTTAAAATTACTCATTTATTTTAAAGTTCTTTTTAAATTTTGAGTTCCAGATTCTCTCCTCCTTCCCACTCCCACATCTACCAAGAAGGCAAGAATTATGATATCAATTATACATGTGAAATCATGCAAAATATGCTTCTATATTAGCCATATTTTTAAAAGGCAAGAAAAATAAAGAAAGTGATAAAATTATTCTTTCCTTTGCCCTCAGAGTTCATCATGTCCTCTCTTTGGAGGTGAATAGCATTTTTTCATCATGAGTCCTTTGGAATTGTCTTGGATCACTGGATTGGCCAAGTCTTTCACAGTTCATCATTGCAACACTGCTGTTACTGTGCAGAGTGATTTTCCAGTTTTTCTCACTTCACTTTGCATCAGTTCATTTAGGCCTTGTCATGTTTTTCTGAAATCATTCACTCGTTTGTGAAACATTTGGGTGCCAATTATGTACCCCAACCTTCTCTGAGTTTGCCTTTGCCTTTTTTTTTCCTCATCACTCCTCACTTTAGAAGTCTGGCACTTTGCAAACCTTAAAAGTGCTATATAAGTATTAGTTGTTAAGAATAATAAGCCCAGGCAGGACAATAAACACCAGTCTTTGCACACAGTCTGCAAGAAAGATAAGATATACCTAATGTGACTTATGAAATAGATACCTAAAAGAATTATTTTGCAGTAAATTCAGCAAGCATTTATTAAGCACCTACTGTATGCCAGGCACTGTGCTTGACACTGAGGAGACAGACAATAATCAAACATTCCATGTCAAGGAACTTATACTGTATTGGGAGTAAAGGGGATGGGATTTTACTGTACTTTAGATCCTTGGTTCCCTTCTCATTTTGTTTTATAGGACACTGCATATTTGGGTAAGACAGGTTCCTGTTTCCTTAAGTAATTTGTTTGGGATGGGAGTGAAACAGCCAAAGGATGTTTTAGGGTGGTGATGGGAGGGAGGGCAGGGGTTTGTAGAAGGGTTATTCATGTAGGTTCAGCAAATTCAAATTTTACTGTTTGGATAGAATTTTTAGAGCCTAAGGTTTATTTTGCTGTTTGTTTGTTTTGAACAGTATTCACCAGGACTATTCTTAAAGACAACAGACTAATAAAATTCCTAAAAATTTAAGCTAACATATAGTAGTAGATCCATGACAGCCAGACATGGTGGAACATACAATTATTGTTGTTTGGTCTTTTGAGTGGTATCTGACTCGTTGTGACCCCATCTGGGGTTTTACTGGCACAGATACCAGAATGGTTTGCTATTTCCTTTTCCAGCTCATTTTAGAGATGAGGAAACTGAGGCAGAGTTAAGTGACTTGCCCAAGGTCACACAGCTAGTAAGTGTCTGAGGACAGATTTGAACTCAGGAAGAGGAATCTTCCCAACTCCAGGCGCAGCATTCTATCTACTACACCACCTAGAAAGACCTTGCAAATTCAGTATTTTGGGGGAAGCGCAAGCTCTGAGCTTCCACTGGGCCACAGAATCAATATCACTCAGTTTCTAAAGTCCATGAGTTCAGGCTTTGGTTGGGCCCAGAGCTGGGGTTATTCTGGGCCTTTGCCATCCTTCTGCTTCTAACAGCAGAATATATAATCAGTACATTTAGGCCATCACTCCTAACACCACACACTATTCCTTTCTCATATTTTAAAACGCCCATCGCCTGGGTTCCAAACTTATTAGGAAACATGCGTTGTCTAATAAAAGCTATTAAGATCTCTCCTACCCTTTTCCCTACTGCCCTGGGAGGCCTTTGAGGTAAATTTTTTTTTCCTTTCTTTGTGAGGCAATTCGGATTAAGTGACTTGCCCAGTATCACATAGCTAGTAAATGTCAAGTGTCTGAGGCCAGATTTGAACTGAGGTCCTCCTAACTCCAGGGCTGATGCTCTATCCACAGCGCCACCTAGCCACTCTTTTTTTTTTATTTTTTTTTTTTAATTTTGAGGTAAAGCTTTAATGAAAAGAGGGATTTGAATAGACAGAAATGAGGTGGGGGGGATGGAGGGGGGGAGCTATCCATTCCCACGTGGTCCTATTATTTGGTATAGGTATCTCCCCCACTCATTAACCCTAGGTTAAGAACCCCTATCCTAGAGAGTAAGGCCTAGATTGTATATATCTCTGTAACCATATTGACTAGCATAGTGCCTTAGCATACGTCCAATTAAATTGAACTGGTTGACAAGAAATGTTTATTTTACATATTTACCCCTCTGCCTTTTCCTTCTTTTTTCCTCTCTCTCTCTCTCACCCTTCTCCTCCCCATGCCTGGTCAACCTTCTTGCATCTCCACTACAGAAAGCCATCTCCTCTCCAACCGTGTCACGACTTACAGATACATCCAAATTCACTGGTTCCCACAAGGAGAGGTTCGATCCATCTGGCAAGGGGAAGGGCAAGGCGGGGAGAGTGGACTTGGTGGATGAGTCAGGCTACGTGCCTGGATATAAGCATGCGGGCACATACGACCATAAAGTCCAAGGAGGGAAATAGGCGTCTCGTACGGACAACAAGCAAGCATTGTCAGGACGGCGATGGCACACTGTTCAGGTTGGCATGAATGAGAAGGTGATGATGTTGGAAATTGTTTTCAGGAACTGGAACTTATTCTACCACCTGCTGAGGTCCTCACAACACAGGGCAACACTTCTTTACATTCCTCATGTTTAACGTGGGCAAAAGCAAAAGGAAAAAAAGAGTCTCTGAGCTTTAGGCAGGAAACCAAATGGAAATGTCTTTTTTTTTTTCTTTCTGATCCACACCATATCAGTAGCACTAAGAGGCCAACATTCCCAAATGTTCAGTGTTGCTTCAGGGTCTCCTTTTACCCCTCAAATGGAGTGTTCTCCTGGCCTGCTTCATGTTTGGCAGAGTATCTTTCAGAAGAACATCTCCCACTTGAGTGGGTTGGGGGTCTGGCCATGCCTGATTCCCTTCTAATGAGTCCACTCTGCCCTCGGAGACAAAATGCTGAGCATTAAACTGGGAAGTAAATGGCTATTTTTCCAAAGAGACTTCCATAGATCCGTATTACTACCCTATTTCCAAGCAGAGGAAGTTTCTTCCTGGAAAGCCAGAGAAATGAGCTCCTGGATGATTAGTATGTGAGCAGGGGGATTAACAGGGCACATCTCCATATGTCTAAAGTGGCCTCTTCCCCTTATGTGAACCATACCCACTTTAATCCAAATCACCAACACATATAAGGGACTGGGGGTGGGAGGGGGGGAAGGGGGAGGCTGGAGGCAATTAGAGCTAATCTACTAACCAGAACTATAAAGACAACTAAACTAAGCCTTAGGTGGCAGAAAACAAGATTAAAGGATGGCCACAATTTGTTTCTAGGCTTACACTGCCACATAGTGGGTGCGAAGGGCATCGGGGGGAGTCTCACGTACATTGTTTAACATGCAAAGGCTAACCCTAACACTACTGAGAGGTTTTGCCCAGAATTTGGTTCACACTGCCATGCTGTGTGTTTGTGTAAGGGGCAGAAGCCTAATACATGTGAGCACAACTCCACACATCTACATGGTGTTTGCTTATATGCTAGCTCTGAGGTGACGAAGTTAGAAATCTCAAATAACAAGGTCAAATGAATGGGAAGAAAGTCTTACGAGGTAGGACACGAAAACTTCCCAGTTTACAAAAAGCTAATCATCCCCTCACCTCTCCTCCCTCTCTAGAGCAGCAGAAAAATGGCTTAGAGTTTGAAATAAAGTCTTCTAATATTTATGAAGCATGTGAGCAATTTATGAAAGGCATTGGTATGTGTCACAGAGTGCTCATTTCAGATTACTTAATGCAAAAAAAGAGTTCCAACCATTGCAACGGCTTTTATGTTTTCTATCCTGCCAGCAGAAGTCCAGAAAAAACTCATTATTTGTCACTATTTTCCCCCTCTTTCAAACTAAAACCAACACATCGTTAAGTCCAAAACATGCAATGAAAATGAATGATGATTTTTTTTTTTAGCCTGGGCATTTGCAGTTGACCATTTAAAGCTTTGTTTTTCCTTTTGTGAAATGGAGTTCATGCATTAACTTTAATAATATGTAACTTTGGCTATTAAAGTTTAATCAACTTTACAGTCTCTCTCTGTTTGTCCCTTTTCCCATTTTGGATTTAATACAGATTAGAGGCATCTTTCAGAGTGTAATCAGGATGGGATTATGTATGCCGGCTTTGAACATAAAGTCAATAATACCCTCTGGAACTGACAATATCCAGTCAGAATCAACCCTCTCTCCCCTTTTTAAAAAACTCTTGAATAGTCTTTTGCTCTTTTTTTTTAAACAGCAATTTACTCTTAACTGAGTTTCCCTTGGAAGCCTCCTTTATAAACTTGGCCTCCCCTGAACTCTTCCAATCCCTAACAGGACGTGAAACCAAAACAACAAAAATAAACAAAGGAAAGAAGTCTCTCTTAGGCCCCGGATTTTTGTTTGGATTTTGTTTTGTGTTTTCGAGAAAAGAGAAACACAGCCATGAGTCCATTTTTCAGCATGCCCTGGGTACTGTCTTGTGTTAGCGTTTCTCAATCCGTTGCCATCACTGCAATGTTCAGGTTTCTTGAAGTTAGCAAGATATTTTTGTGGAGGCATTACAGTCTTAACATTTTTGCTGCTGTTGTTGTTATTTCTGTCTTTGCAATCTTATGTTAAACAGGGTCCCTGCCTCTTTCACAAACCATAAAAAAGAAGTGTCTACAAACATTTCCAACTGCATCCATACTCAATATTTGTAGCTGAGGTAACATTTTCTTAGTATTACTACATTTGCCAATTTGTTAAACATGCATGTTTATTTAGGTCTCAGGAATCTTTACTTTGTATTCAACACCGTTTTAGTCATGGGAATATTTATATAAAGCTTTATGGAAGATGTGACTGTAGGTTTTTATTGTGAGCTGAGCATTATGTGGAGGTATAGATAGCTAGTAGGGCCACGCCTCCCAAGAGTGAATTTATTCACTTGCTAGGCAAGCATAAGGGCAGGGAAAGCTTTGGAATGTTTCTCCCCCACCCACCCTGAAGCTTGAGAGCCTGAAAGATAAACTCCATATCTTGTGGTGTTGGGGTTTTTTTTTGTTTTTTTTTTTAAAGATGGGCAGACACAGACTGTGCACCGAATACCTCAGGTTCCAAGGGTCCTGCTCCCTAACCAGCAAAGGAAGCATTAGCTGGTAGCATTTAAGAAATGCTTCACTTTTGGCCAAAAAGAAGGTGGAAACTGATGATTTCTATGTAGTATCCTGTTTAGTTTTCATGGATAATGTCATGGTATTTAGATACTGAAAGATTTCCTGACCCAGCCTTCCCACAATTACCACATAAATCAACACATCCATTTACTTTATTCATTCAGTTCACTCATTCTTTCACTCACTAGTTCAACAAAAATTATGCTAAGCACCAGGGGAGATCTAAAGGTATATGATTTTGTCCCTGCACCCCAGGAGGTCACAAACAAGGGGAGACATAAATAAAGCAGAGTCTCTTTTACTATCATGTAAACAAATTCTTCCTAGGAAATTAACTATGTCAGCTGATTCAATATTGAGTTAATTAATTCACACTGCTCCTAGGGACTAAATTATGCTAATTGAGTATTGCCAGGCTTTGTTATGCTTTAGCTTGTGGTCCTAGGCCCTGGGAAGCAAACCTCCAGCTGGGGCTTGCTTCCCATTCAGGTTTAGCCCATGGACTGGCAGTCTGGCTTGTTTTATCCAGCTAAAAGAGTAAAAGGCTCTTTTCTAATTCTCCATACCCAGCAAAACAGCTTCTGAAAGCACCTGCACCAATGCAAATTCCTGGGCATTTGAGGGCCTTGCTGAGGTGAGGCAGGAAATAGAACAAAGATTTCTTAGTCATTTCCCTTGTATTATTGATGTATTTACACTTAGTGGTCTTACAGAAACCAAAAGGAAATGAGAGGGAAGTTTATTAGTTAGCAAAGAATCCCTTGGGTTGAGATAAGGCGTGGATTTCTGAACTGCCATTCCATGTACTCACAGGATCAAAGACATAGAGATATGGAATGGACCTTAGAGGTCATAACATCATTTTACAGATGAGGAAACTAAGGCTGAGGGAGATTAAATGACTTGTCCATGATCACATAGCTAGTAAGTATCAAAGATAGGACTTGAACCCAGATTTTCCTGACTCCAAATCCAGTAATCTATTCACTAGAGAGTGAAGTGCAGGTTTAGAACAACTATCAGATTAATACCAAGAGGAGCAGAAACATTTGCTTGAATTTTCAGGTCATTTCTGGTTAAAGTGGGGTCTCAGAGCCTTACATTGCCTTGCAGACTCTGCACTTAGAAGGCCTGTGCCTGAGGCCAGCAGACCCACAACTCCATAACGGCCTTTTAAAGTGGCTGTATTAAAGATGGGATATGCCACTTGTTGCATATAAAACATGAGCCTTTCTTTTTCCCTTAAATACCATGATGTCACTTACAGTCTCTGAGCTCAGAAGTTTACAAAAGCTCCACTTAACTTTAGTGTCAAAGGAAATACAATTTAGGTATCTTTCCTTGTTCAACCCCATGGTTTTGGATGGGGAAGGGGAGGAGGATGGGGTACTGTGCCAGCAATAAGTGCCACCGTTGGGGCTCTGGTGTACCCCCCAGGGGAACATCCGCAGCAAGAACTTTTATTGGCCCTGTTCTTGAAGTACAGTAAGTGCCTCATACCATACATACACATATACAGAATAATGTGAACTATGGACATTCTACAAATGCTATGGGTCAGTTGGAACCAAAGTCAAAGCATAGCCAGAGACGTGGAAATGCAGCTGTTCTCAACATAAAAGTTACTGGTGAGACATTTGAATCTGGATTGGATGCATCACTTGGCCTTTCCAAGCAACAAATAGCATCTGCTTCAAATGCAATAAGTCCTCTACTGTCATTTTACAGTCCATTTCCACAGACTTTTTTGGCAAAAGCCCTGGCAGAATCCCCCTGAGGTATCTGAGAGTCTAGTTTAAGAGACTGAAGGGATTTTTTCACCTTAGAAGATGAAGAGCTGAGGTTAACTGGAGGTCTCAGACTCTAGTAGTTGTTTGCAGACATGAGGACAAGCTCTCCCTGCTTCCAATGAGTGCACCAAATCAGACATTTCATAAGGAACCCCAGGAATAAAAAAACAAAATAACTTTCTCCTGGCTTTCCTCACAGGTCTGGACCTACATGTAAAAAGCATCTCTAGGCAAGAGCTAATTATGCTTGAAAAATGCTTTTGCAAAAATCTGGAAACTGATGACAGCAATATTTTAACATGAAGGTGCAGTAAAAAGGCTTAAAACCCATATATTCTGTTACTCCTACCCTCAAACTTTCTCTTATAGTCCAGTGGTTATTACCAATTACTCATTATTGATTGGAAGGACACCTCCTTGGTTGTCTGAAGAAAAACCCAGTTTGGGGCATAGAAGATGCTTGTGTGAATGTAGGTCCACTTTGAAAAAGTGAAATAGTCCTCCCTGCTTTCCCTCCAGTTTGTCAACCACTTTACAGGGGGAAGCTAAGATAGAAAGACCTTGTTTTTCTTTTTTTGATCTTTACACGGGCAAGCTTCTCCCCCTGCCAGGGTCTGCATAACAGCTAAAGAAAAGGGACCCACACAATGGGTCAGCCTTTTATTTTTTCTTTTTTACATCCCAAATAACAGGTGTAAACATTCCCCCTGCCCTTTTAAATACTTCACAGAATTTTAAAGTGGCAAAGCTGGCCATCTGTGGGGGAAGATTTAAATGAATCCATGATAGGGTTTATTTCAAAGGAAAAGAATATACTCTCCCTTCAGTAGCAGCTATTATAGGGGACAGGGTGAAGTGGTCCTCACATCTTTCTTCTTCTTGAGACTTCTTTTATCCACAAAATACTGAAAGGAGTGAGGATATAGAGAACCAGAATTACTGTGTCCTGACTCAGGGCAATGGGCCATTGTCATGAACCAAGAACTAAACTCTTCAATTTCCAACTAAGTGCTGAAGAAATTTGCCCTAAAAGGAGAATATGGCAAGTGTGATAAGCTAAGGAACAACAGCACAAGTCTAATACTCCCAAACTTTGGTGAGCCAAGTTCAACAAACTACTCTGGTGGTGAGCTGCTCTCCTCCTGGGAAAGAATAGACCTTCCAGGGTATCAAGGTTCAATCCACTTAATAAATTATGCCTCTCAAGGGATAAGGTCT